ACAATACAACCATGCCCGAGGCGGGATTCGAACCCGCAATCCTTTGGTCCAAGATTGCTACGGTACTACTACCTTAGCGATCTCTGCCATCGAATCGGCTAGGCAGCTGTTTTGATCAGTAGTTTTTCGTGGTTTCTCCGCTCAAGATTATGGGCCATCTCTCGTACCTCATCTTTCTCCCTTCCTTTCCCCTTACACGTGAACTACATCACTACACATGTCAGAGCAGCCGCTCGCTAGAATTTTCCTCCAGACAGCGACTGAATTGGAATTAGCTATCTATAGTGGCATGGCTCGAACATCCTGCCGCCGTCCGGACTCGAACGTAGGACCTCCCGGTCAGAGGGACTGCAGTGTCATCAGTTGATGGCCTGAGCTACATCTCCCGCCACGCGCCCGGAATCGCAAAGTAACGAACGAATCAATTGTCGACTGCTCGCATCCTCCGCTGCACGAGGAAGCCGGCAGGAGCGTGGAGCGGGTTCTGGCGGCCTCACGCGAGGGCCGGTCTTCCGGCGCGGCCTTCGCTGGGCGCTGCGTCGCGGGGCAAACGGAGGAAAATGAGCGGAGTGGGCGGCCGGTCCTGCGTGGACGCCGAGGCAGCAGCCTTCACGGGCCGCCGCGCGCCGCGCCGTCTTAATGGCTCTGACCCTTTGAAGGCGACGCGACGCGACTGCGTAAATCGATTCGGCCCCTCACCATATCGCAGCTCTAGGATGTTAAAAACAAAGTACAGTATCTTGCCGACCTAGGTAGTCGTTGATGATATTAGGTTCATTGATTACTTAGTGGTACCGGGCACGGCAAATACTGAGGTCATAAATCCCTTAAGTGCAGTGTATGTTTTTCGCTAGGGAGGAGTCGATGGTCTTTCCCCGATGTGTGGCCAGATCCGGCGCCGATCTACCGTCGGCTAGAGGGGTTTTCCCTCACCAAGTATCTCCGACCAGCGGGGCACCGGCGGACAAGCTCTAGGTTCCCGCCTGGTCTCCCGGCATGTGTTCTAGTGTAGTGCATATTAGTGTAAGTGTGTGTAAGTGGTGAGGAAAGGACAAGGTAGAGGAAGGAAAGATTATGCGCAGTCACTGGCCTATCTGATAGGGTACTGCTTTAGCATTCGCCTGGTGTTGAGAGAAACCACGTAAAACTACCGATCAGAGCTGCCGACCGCTAGAATTCTCGTCCAGACAGCAACTAAATTCGACCTCGCTGATAAGCTGGGGCCGAAAATTCTGCCACCGACGGGACTTCAACCTAGGACCTCCCGGTCAGTATGATTGGGGCATAAGTGTTTTGAATACAAGGATCTTGGTTCGAGTCTTACAGTGAGCACACGCTTTTGCATTCATTCATTTTTATTATTATCGATTCACATCCCGCAAACCATTTCTATAGCATTTCATCACAGTTGTAAAGGACGTATACTGCATCCCCCAAACCATTTTGATGGGGAACATCAGAACTTCCCCGTCGTGGCGTCCTCCCATCGTTGCCTCCATAACTTGTGAATAAATCTCGTAATAACCACAATAATAATAATAATAATAATAATAATAATAATAATAATATAATGTCCACCTACCTCGATGTCATGACTTTGCCCCGGTGGGCTTCACGAGATGCCCCATGATGTCCGATTCGCAAAACAAAATATAAATAATAACTTATATGCTTGTAGATGTTACTGTGCCGTGCGATCAAACCATCGTGACCAAGGACGCAGAAGCACGTCTTAAAAACAAGAGTGTAAAAATCGAGAACCGGCCGAATGTGGGGTATAAAAGCACAGGTCGCCCCGATAGTTATCGGAGCCCTCGAATTTGTTCCGCAAAATTTGTGCAAGAACTAAGCTAAATTTCTTGGTGATTCAAAAGACTGGGAAGTACTCTTACAATAAAATGCTTTTTTGCGAACAGCCCACATACCGGAGGTTCTGATAGCCCCTTGATCTCCCACTTAGGAAGCTGATTGTAACCTAAACTAGACTTTATAATCAACGAAGTCATAACATTTTAGTCGTGAATTAGAGCAATAATATTAATAATACTTTTTATTAATTGTATCAACAAAATTACATTTGTCTTTTCTGGATTTCTTTTGTTTTAATTTACATTTTAACTTCATTACCTGTTATATTTTGCCGTTTGTTTTCTTTATCATTGATGTACTGAGTGTGAAAATGGTATTTAACAAATGAGTAATAAAGTTATTTAATGAAAGATCCTTCAGGTATACACACGGTTAGTATTTTCTCTGTGTGTCTTATTGAAAACTGTATTTCTTATGACCTGAGTGAATTAAATTGAATTGAATTATTTGTTTAACGCTTTCATTTGGAGATTATTGTCTGCTCTTCGAGCAGAAAATAAGTGCGATTGTCTAACGATTTAAAACCAAATTGAGCGTGATACCTATCTAGAAAAACTCGTTCTCCCTCCATAATCGACGAGCTTAGTAATTACTCGAGTGGGGGTCTGACTGCGAGGCGTAGGTAATTTCACTTTTTGGTCTCGAGCAATGAGGAAAAGAAACTTTGCCTGAGTTGCCCCAGATACTACCTGCAAACAGTACCGGCATTGCGAACTTAAATTTAATGCCCATGGAGAGCAAAATTTGTAATGAATTTCATCTGTGGGAAAAGTAAATTTGCATGAATATTTAAACAGTAAACACAGTCGCGAATAGTGATATATTCGTACACGCATAACGCATTGAATTGTTTTTCTAATTCTTTTTTGTCCCATTGCTCTTGATTATTTCTGTAATGGCTAAACCGCTTTTGATATTGGTGTTTGTTTGTTATTTTTCACTGAAAGGAACATCATTTTTTTCACAAGACATCACATACATGCACACTTCGATAAACATTAACCAACAATTTTGAAATACAGTAACTCTGAGGCAAATTGAGGCACTGGAGTAAATGGAAATGTATATAGTAGGAATTTTCGTGAACTATTAGAAACATTTGATTCACTTTTTGATTTATTCACTGCTTTCCAGATATTTGCTAAAACGGAAAGAGTGCTCATTTAAGTTTTGATCTGAGGGATAGAAAAAGGATATCGTTCACGAAATCTCATACACAGGGGCGCCTAGAAGGGGGACGGCTGGGGGACCCACTCACCAAACCCCATTTCACTTACTTGGGCACCCGATTGTTTTTCATTAAAAACATATAAAAATGCATGTACTTCTAAATCAAATTAGCACTTTTATTTTTGTTTCATGAAGCGATGAATTCTGCTCGTGTATTGGGGAGGGGGACCTTGTGGTTGAGCCAGAGTCCGCGCAAACGGCATCCTCCTTGTTCGCGTTTATGGAATTCAAGGACATGCAGAACATTAGTGACACTTAAAACAATTATTAAGTCACATTTGAGTTATGAGAGCATACTGCTAAGTATTGATAGTCGGGGAATTATAATTATAAATAAACCGCCCTCTTCACTAAAAAAATGTGTGAGTCATTCGCTGTGAAACGCCCAGAAAAGGTATTTGAACGTCCCCTGAAAAATATTTTTTTCTTTCTATTTACATTCGTGGCAGTTTTATTTTATAGTATATCAGAGCATGTTAAGACAGTTTTCCACACACTTAATTAAATTTCAATTTTTAACGTATTCGCATACGTGCATATAAATCAACGAAACTCTTATACTTCTGTATAGTCATGTCTTCACGGGAGCCGTAAATAAACAAACTCGAATAGGCGAGGCTGAACAGCTGCCGTGGCGGAAGGATACTTCCCTGAATTACACTGATGTTCTCTTGTTTCGCGAACTGTCACTTTGGCTCATTCTTATAACATTCGCTCGCTCTACAGCGAAGAGAAGATGGTAGGTTTTTCTAAGTTCGAAGACAGGCATCTTTTTTAAATGCGAACATTAGTAAGTGCTTATAAACGCTATGTTCAGCAATTTCCTGACACATGTTCTCTACAAAACATTTTCAATTTTTATTCGACTATTGTTACAGCATGACAACGCCCGACCGCATAGAGCCCGTTTGACAGTTCAGACTATCCAGGATATCAAATTAAAAGGTCTTATTCATCCACCTTATTCACCAGAACTCCCTCCTAGTGACTTTCATGTGTTCCGTGCACTTGAACTTGAAGCAAAGGGAGATAAGCATTTCAGAAGTTACGATGTGGGGAAAGCCGTGGTGCACGAGTGGCTACAGACAAGACCAAAAAAGTCTTTCATCGTGGTATCTATGCGCTTCCAAAGCTTTAAAACACTTGCATTGAACGTACAGAAGATTACGTCGAAAAATGATGTGCATAAGTTGTTCATTGTTAAAATACACAATTTATTGCGCTTTTAAATTTTTCGAACGACCTATAATTTGAATGAACATCATACTATAAGTGATGCATTATGTTTTTAAGTACAGATGGTAATATTTTCTGTTGTAGACCATTGCAATATCTATCTAATCATACTTGTACATCTTTGTAAATATAATTCATTTCCGTCCAATTTTCAAAAACATGTAAACCTCTTTCATTCCATTAGTCTTATAGAATAACTTGTGAATATCTTGAAACAATGTTTTTGCGTTTTTCGATTTCCCACATGGTACATATGTAGTAGTTTCCTACTCCTAAAGTTTTCAGATCTTACTTTTATGCCATATAATCGTAGGGGTTCAGCTAGTATCTTATAAATAACTAGATGAAAATAAAAAGGCAGTTGTTTTGAAATCAGACACTCCAATTTTATTTATGTAGAAGATAAAAGATGAAAAACAAGCAGAATATTTTACATTTGTATAAATCACCTATTGACATCGGTGTTCTTAATTCACAGATATGTTTTTTATCAGTTCTTATTATTGAGTGTAACTCAAGTAAATAGCGATATTATATGTAATATATATTTCCTTGAAGAATATTTTGGAGTAGCTCTATAAATTTGCTATACTCAATAATCATGCGCTAAAAATAATTGTTTTAATTTAATAGTAACATCATGACTGACTTTTTTTCTCTTTTAGGAACTTCAACATGTTGATGAGCAGTCCATTGTATAATAGCTGTACAACAGAAGAAAACTGGTAAGTACTGATTTTTTTTTGTTTCTCTGCACGTTGTATTTCCGTCAGGCTGTCTGTTTTCATTTTGTAACGTCTACTTAAGTTCTCATACCATAGTATGAAAAATTATACATTTCTCGCAACAAACCACATACATTATCTTATATTGTACAGCAGGTGTCTTAAACAATTTGAACCGCAATCGAAATAGTAGGAAGTGGGCGAGAAACCCTTAAAAATTATAAATTATAAGTCACTGTAGTAAATTCCATATTTTACATCTTTATTAGTAATAGTAATATTATGTTTCTTTGAAATAAACAATGTTTTATTACATAGTGTTACGAAGTTCAATAAATCGTTTCAATTCTTTCGCTAATGAACCTGGAAGTGATAAAAAGAATTATTAATACTGAAGATGTCAGTAAGGAAGTTTTAAATGAACCACTAGCAACAGCATGCAAATGGATGAAATGCACAGTACATACATTTATCAAATTACGCATTATGGGTTCATTTAAGGTGCTACAAACGAATAATTGTGTTTCTGTTGGGATAAAATAAATACACACGGAACGTGAGAAATGGCTTCGGACATAAAAGCTCCACAAGAGTTTTAGACGTTGAATCTTACCCACCGTGTGGTAGCAAGTAGTAAGTAATTTCCGAGACTGCGAGTGACAAATGTGTGCCTTCATTTTTCTTTTCTCTCGTTTGATGTCCTTCACAATCTTTTCAAATATCTTGTAGAATCTATATTAATAAAAGTAAATTTAACGTCGTGTAACCGGTGCAGCTGAACTGGTACCTAAAGGCTTGCTTCTTAATTTATATTGCTCTGTGGCCAATAGAGCGATGTTACAGGACGTGTACCTAGTAGATTCGCTAGAGGCCAGTAGTAGTGAACAAGATAAATATTTGTAATCTAATAGCAATGCACTGTAAAATAAAATGAAAGAAAATTAAAATACTTCATTAAAGTGTGAACCAATTATATTAAAAATAACAACCTTAAACATCGTGGTTTATATAAAATTGATCTTTTTCCTCTATCACAAAGACTGAGTCTGAAGGAATTCTGGACAACGCCAGGTACTTTGCTATGATGTGATGCTAATTTTTCGATTGTTTATACCTTTCTTATATTCTGTTCAGTTTGGTTTTATTCATTCAAATCCAATATAATACAGTCCGCAATAAAATTGCAGACTGTGGTACAGAAAGAAAAACTACGCTACACGCATTTATTGGTGCGAAAGTTGAGGACGGTCGCGTGGCAGGAAGTCTGACGCACACGAAAGCAGAGCAATAAAATCTCACTCCTTCTCACATTCGCTTTCCAAACCTCAAGGAAGAGAATGTTGAGTAAGGCCAAGACGTGTATGAAGGTTTACTTTGGCTGACGTTCTTAAAACGAGTTGCATGATCTTATCCGTAAGCATAACGGTAGTCTCAGAACCCCGGAGTCAGTACGAAGCTGCATATTCGACTAACATTTTAAAAGCATGTATCTACTCGACGAAACGAGAAATTGTAAATTTCCCATTTTACACAGTCATTTTTCATCGGTACAGGAAAATGACGGGTGATACGGGATATAATTTGTACAGAAAATTTACGCATGCTTCATATTTCGGTGCAGATTTCGTCCCGTTTGGCTACTGCGCTTTTGGCTTGCTTCGTCACTTTTGGGAACATTCTATGGTTTGCTATGTGCATGGTGCGATTTGTTCCTTTGTTCAAGAAGAAATCTACTACTATATCTCACGTTTATCGGAATTTTAGACACTACAAAGCAATATTAAGAGATAAAAGGCAGTTTCATTTCGAAAAAAAAGATACCTTTATAGCGCACCACGTTGTAAAAGACTAGTTAACAATGTTCTTAGATCGATCTATTTATGTAACTGAAACATTTTATTTAATTAATAAATTAACACATTATTTTCTTTACTCTTGGGCGTAGTGGTCAAATTGCTCGCATTTCACACCTGGTGCCTGGGTTTGATCCCAGGCAGTTCCGATTTCCCCTGCGAATACACAATCCATCGGATCACTCCATCAATCATTCCTTATCCTATCCTACCATTAACCATAATTCCGCTAAGGACCTATGAAATAGAGCGGTTTCTAGGCGATACCCAAGAAACGAAGGGGGAACTGCCGCAGCTACTTCAGCGGGTTATCGATAGGGAAGAGTCCCGGCCTCGTGATCTAGAGAGAGAGAG